TCTCGATCTCCTGACCTCGTGATCCGCCCGTCTCAGCCTCCCAAAGTGCTGGGATTACAGGCTTGAGCCACCGCGCCCGGCCAAGACTCCATCTTAAAAATAAACAAAAAACAAAAATTAGCCGGGTATAGTGGCGCGTGCCTGTAGTCCCAGCTACTCACGAGGCTGAGGTGGGAGAATCATTTGAATCTGGGAGGCAGAAGTTGCAGTGAGCCAAGATGGCACCACTGCACTCCAGCCTGGGCAACAGAGTGAGACTGTCTCAAGAAAAAAAAAAAAAAAATGTAGATTTCAGAACTCTCCCCAGCCAGACTGATGTGGGGACTGGAGATGTTTGTTTTTTTGTCTTTTTTTTAAGACAGGGTCTAGGGTCTTGCTCTGTCACCCAGACTGGAATGCAGTGATGCAATCACGACTTCATGACTCACTGCAGCCTCCACCATCCAGGCTCAAGCGATCCTTCCACTTCAGCCTCCTGAGTAGCTAGGACCACAGGTGTACACAACCACACCTGGCTAATTCTTCTATTTTTTTTTTTTTTTTTTATAGAGATGAGGTCTGGCTTTTAACTCCTGGGCTCAAACAATCCTCCTGCCAAAATGCTGGGGTTACAGGTGTGAGCCACCAAGTCCAGCCTGGGACCTGTATTTTTTACACTATTTCAAAAATTTTTAACACGACACATAGTAAAAAACACATTTTATATTGCAACCCAGTACTCACATACTTATACGTACGTATGCCTGGAACAGAATGACCTTCGCCAAACAGGACCTACCCTTACTTGTGCAATGCACACTGGTATTTTCTATTCTACTCTATTTCATATAAAATTAAAAATGTTGGCCGGGTGCGGTGGCTCACGCCTGTAATCCCAGCACTTTGGGAGACTGAGGTGGGCGGATCATCTGAGGCCAGGAGTTTGACACCAGCCTGGCCAACATGGCAAAACCCTGTCTCTACTAAAAATATAAAAATTAGCTGGGCATGTTGGCACATGCCTGTAATCCCAGCTATTCCAGAGGCTAAGACATGAGAATCATTTGAACCCAGGAAGCAGAGGTTGCAGTGAGCTGAGATTGTGCCACTATACTCTAGCCTGGGTGACAGAGTGAGACTCTGTCTCAAAAATTAAAGAAAAAAAATTTTTTTGAGACGGAGTCTCGCTCTGTTGCCCAGGCTAGAGTGCAGTGGCGTGATCTTGGTTCACTGCCAGCTCCGCCTCCTGGGTTCACACCATTCTCCTGCCTCAGCCTCCCAAGTGGCTGGGACTACCAGCGCCCGCCACCACGCCTGGCTAATTTTTTGTATTTTTTAGTAAAGACAAGGTTTCGCTGTGTTAGCCAGGATGGTCTCGATCTCCTGACCTCGTGATCCGCCCACCTCGGCCTCCCAAAGTGCTGGGATTACAGGCATGAGCCACTGCGCCTGGGCAAAAATTTTTAAAAATAAAATTAAATAAAGTATACTTTGGTGTATAAAAGAGTATAAGTACGCTAAAGTGTGCTTATACAGTAAAACAAATTTATTTTCTACCCCAAACCTCCAGTCTGGAAGCCCCCACTGCCTACCTCAGGGACCCCTGCCCATCCCCAGGGGCCATGCCTGTTACATCTCACCTGCATTGCCTGTGGATGACACCTCTGTCAGGTTGGGGCAGAAGACGGCATAGTCAAACTGGCATGGCTAGAAGGCCAAGCGAAAGACCTGGTGTCAGACCCCTGAAAGGATGTCCGCCGACTTCCACATGACCCCCCGAGCCCACATCTGGAGATGCAGCCTCCCTGACAACTAGAATGACGCTGTATAAACCCAGCCAAGGTACTTCAGCACCCTGCCCCCATCTGCCTCAGTATACCTTGCCTGGCCTGTGGCCTGAGCAGCGAAGCCCCAGCCTACTGTACAGATGGGGGAACCGAGGCCACAGGTCAAGGGGACTTGCTGAAGGTCACTCAGATAGTGAGGAGACCCCAAATCCAGGCTGGAAAAAGACTGTGGGTAAATGGGAGAGGTTCTGGATACAGCCTCAGCCTCCTGGTCTGTGAAATGGGAGATGATACCTAGGGGCCACTTCAGCCCTGACAGCTTGGGCAGCCTCAGTTTCCCCAAGCAAAGAAAGGCCCAGTGACTCCTTCAACCAAACTCGAGAAGCAGGTACCCTTAGCAGCAACCCAGTTTTATGGAGAGGCAAAGTGAGGCTCAGGGAAATGCCACCTCTCGCCCAGTCCAGGGTGATATGCTAGTGCCAAAGGGGCATGACAAGTGAGTCCAGAGTCTACAACTTTAGCCACGACGTGGCCCTCCTCTTAAGCCTGGACTTGAGTCTAGACACGCGGGGAAATGAGTAATGACCTATGACTGGACTCCCTGCGGCCCTGCAGCACCTGGCGGAACCTGCACACGCAGCTCGTCACATCTAATCCTCAATACAACTCAAGAGTGGCGACTGGCACCCCCCAGGGTCACACCGTCAGACCCAGGGCTTCAGGACTGCCTGCCGCCCACCCGCAAGTCGGCCCCTCACCTGCAGCAGTTTCAGCAAGGCCGCCGGGTCCCGGTCCCCGGTAGCATTGAAGAGCAAGACTCGAACCTCTGGCCCACTGCTGCAGTGGCGAGGAGCTGGGTCAGAGGGCACCGCCCATTGTCCCAATCCCGTCCCCGCCCTTCCCCACGACCCCGCCCCTCCCCGTGGGCCCGCCCCGCCCTTCCCCAAGATCCCGCCACTTCCAGTGAGGCCGCCCAGGCCCCACCCCCATCCCTGCCCCTCACCCGCTCGGCCTCTCTCGGCCCTGCAGCGCCTGGCGGAACCAGCGCACGCAGGCCTGCACGCTGCTGGGGGTGTGCGCGCCGTCCAGGTACCAGGTAAGGGGCCCGCGCCGCAGCACCTGTGTCCGCCCCAGCCACTCCGTGTTCCGAAGCCCTGGGGGAGGGCAGCAAGGCAGTCCTCCAGGTTCTCTCCCACCCCCGTCCTCAACTCCGCACACACACTGCTGAGGCCAGTCTCCCCTGCAGGCTGCGCCCGCTCTCAACACTCTGAGGACCCCGGCAGCCCAGGAACTTCTTACTAGCACCAGTCAATGGCTTGGCCTTTTCGGCTGCCTCATCTGGTGGAATCTTTCAGGCAACTCTGAAAGGGTCTGCTATCATGTATGATTCCCGTTTGACAGCCCGAGAGCCCTTAGCTGGGGCCGGGATGTGATGCGAGGTTGGCCTGTCTCCAGGACCTTGTCACTTGCCCCTGACAACAGGCGTGGCACACAGTGGGCCCACTATTTGCTGCAGGGGCTTAAAAGCATGAGCACCCGCTGGGTGCTGAAAGCTTTGGGGGAGGCAAGAAGCAGATGACTGGATCACCGTCCTCCAGAACCTCAGGGTCTGATAACAATGATAGTGACAGTGATAGCAGCTTCCACTGGCTGGCACTTTATCCCACATTGGCCAGGCCCTGCACTCAGCACCTTAGTGATGTCACCTCAGCGAATCCCCACCACAGCCCTTGGCAGTGGCTCCTATCATCATCCAGTTTGGCAGATGAGAAGACAGGCTCAGAAAGAGTTCATGAGCTCAAGGTCAGGGAGGTTTGCTGACCTCAGAATCCCTTCTCTTAAGTACCACCTCAAATTGTCTCTATCTCCCAAACAGAAAACCAAAAAAAAAAAAAAAAAAAAAAAAAAACATCTGAAGGGGCACAGACACACGCAGTGGTCCCAGCTGGGCAGGAAGGTCCAACTCACCGAGCCGCATGTGGGATGTGGGCTGGAACACAGGTGCCAGGGGCAGCTGCCACAGGAGCCCCGGCCTGGATGCCTTCACCTCCCCAGCACCTGCGGGGTGTGTGAAACCAAGTGTGCCCAGGACCCTCCTAGGCAGGCTCCATAGGTGCCACCCACCTGCCTGCCCACTCAGCTGCCCACCGCTCACCATGGCGGTCCTGCCGCTGCAGCCAGCAGTGGGCCAGTTGCAAGGCCAAGGCGGCGTTGGACCGCTGGTGCTCCCCGTCCAGGCCCAGGGCCAGCGGCGGCCCCCCTTCCTCCAGGGTCTCCAGCGTCGGACACAGGTAGAGAGGACACTGGGGGAGACAGGCAGGAGCGTGTCAGCAGAGGCCCTCCCTGACCACATCAGCCCTCCCATCTCTCCCCTCCCCCCAGCCACCAAGCCCTGCTCCCAGATCTGAGATGTGTTCCAGCTGGCCCGGCAGCTTCCTCACTGCACAGATGAGCAGACTGAGGCCCCAGAGGATGCAGTGCCTCCTCAAACAGGAGGGACACACGCCCACCCTGCCGCTGCCCCCATTCCAATCAGACTTACTGAGATCTGCTGGGCTCGGTCCCTCAGCACTGCCAGGGGACCTTCAGGTTGGAGCACAGTGAAGGCAGGGACGCCTTGCTGTGGAGGGAACAAGGAGAGAGAAGGGGCTACCTAGCGTCTTCCACACTGCTATCTCTGGCCCCCACATCCCTGGGTCTGGGCTACCACTGGCTGTCATCCCTCATGTTTCTTCTTTATTTCTGTTTTTTGAGAGGAAGTCTCACTTTGTCACCCAGGCTGAAGTGCAATGGCACAATCTCGGCTCACTACAACGTCTGCCTCCCGGGTTCGAGCGATTCTCCTGCCTCAGTCTCCCCAGTAGCTGGAACTACAGGCGTACACCACCACACCTGGCTAATTTTTGTATTTTTAGTAGAGACGGAGTTTCACCATATTGGTCAGGCTGGTCTCAAACTCCTGACCTCAGGTGATCCTCCTGCCTCGACCTCCCAAAGTGCTGGGATTGCAAGTATATAAGCCACCATGCCCAGCCATCCCTCATGTTTCAATGGGGAAACAGTCTGGAGAGGAGACTCAACTTGTTCCAGTCACACAGTGAAGCCAGGATGAGAATGCAGACGCCCAGGCCTTCCATGTCTCTCCCGTCCCCCAATCTGCCTGGTCACCTTAAAGATGCCCCCTTTCTGCCATGCGATCTTCTCCACCGTGTCCCCCAGGAGGCTGGTGTGGTCGATGCCAAGAGAAGAGACGCCGCACACCACAGGCTTCCTGCAGAGGAGGAAAAGGCCATGAGGCCCTGCCGAGCCACCAGGCGGCAGGTGAGGCTGTGCTCCTGACTGCCACTCCTCACCCCAGGCAACTGTGCTCACCTGATGATGTTGGTGCAGTCATAAGCCCCGCCAATGCCCACCTCCACCACTGCCAGGTCCACCTGCCAAAGACCAGAGGGCATGGCAGGGGGTATGAGGGTGCCCAGAGGCCACATGGAAGCAGGGAGCCCCCAGGCCTGCTGAGGTTCCTGTTCCCAAGGCCTCAGATGCAGGGTTCTAGGGAGAGGGCACACACCTTCTCTTGGAGGAAGACGTGGAAGGCCATGAGTGTCAGGAAGCGGAAGTAGGGGGGCATGGAGACACAGCTGCCATCCTGTGGCACAGGGACATGTCAGGGCCCAGAGCCCCTGCAGCCCCTCCTCTGGGGACATGGGGTGCTGGAACATGTAGCACCCCCAACCCCACCCACCCGCCAGCCCTCTTGTGTGGGGCACCTTGGTCTCCTCCAGCCGGTGGTAGAGGCGCCAGAAGTACTTGGTGAAGAGCTCGGGACTGATGGGCTGCCCGTTGATGCGGATCCGCTCCCGAACCTGCACCAGGTGGGGAGAGCTGCCGGGACAGCTGGGGTCGTCAGGACTCCCTTCCCAAGCATCCTGGCCTTCCCCCACCCTGCAGGGGCTGAGGCCACTGGCCTCGGTGCCTCGCCTCTCCTGTGTCCCTCAGTTTGTTGCTGGTACCCCATCCCCCCAGACTATCTGTAGCCCCCGCAGTCCTCCCCCTCTTCTATCTCCAGGTCTCTGCACCTGGCTCACCCTATTAACCACACTGGTCTCAACTAAGACAGCTCCTCCTCCTTTGGACCCTCACCCAGGCTGGTCTCGCACATCCAATGGTCCCATACCAATCAGTCACTCTGCTGACATCTGTCCCACAATGCCATCTGTCTCACAGCTCTCAGAGACAAAGCCCACGAGCAACGTTCAAGCTGCAGCCCTCGGCTGGCCCTCAAGGCCACATGGGCCCAAGGTGAAGGCTAGGGTTTTTATCCCCAAAATGACTATAGTTTTTATTTTTACTTATTTATTTATCTATTTTTGAGACAGGGTCTTGCCCTGTCACCCAGGCTGGAGTGCAGTGGCACAATCTTGGCTCACTGAAACCTCCACCTCTCGGGTTCAAGTGATTCTCATGCCTCGGCCTCCCAAGTAGCTGGGACTACAGGTGCACACCACCACGACTTGCTGATTTTTGTATTTTTAGTAGAGACAGGGTTAACGCCATGTTAGCCAGGCTGGTCTTGAACTCCTGGCCTCAAGTGATTTGCCCACCTGGGCCTCCCAAAGTGCTGGGATTACAGGCATGAGCCACTGCGCCTGGCCCAAAAAATGATTTTAGAAGACAGGTTAGTGCCTTATGTTTCAGTCCTCAAAGACACTCAGGTAGTAAGTCCTCCTCTCCATCTCTTTATTTGAACAAGAACTGTTTAGGGAAAACATATTGGCTTGAAATGACCTTAGGCAGCTGATTTCAGAAGTTCTTGGTGATGGGCTTAGGAGACATGCGTGACACAGGAAGAGTGATCCTGGTTCTACCTGGCCATCCTCTTGTGTAAGTCTAGACAAGTGAGACCAAGAGGGGGCGCTGTCTCCTGGGGAAAGCCACAGCAGAGACTGGCTGGGCAGAAGGGCTCCTATCTGCAGCCCGCCTGGGAGACTTTAACATGGATGGCACAAGCCACCCTTATCATTTAAGCCCTTGCAAGGCAATTTTCTCCTTACTCTAAAGACGTACTAATTGGGGCCGGGCGCGGTGGCTCAAGCCTGTAATCCCAGCACTTTGGGAGGCCGAGACGGGCGGATCACGAGGTCAGGAGATCGAGACCGTCCTGGCGAACA